CCTGAGACATGTGCAGGGCTAATACATTTGAGTTTGTCTGGCTTTTGTCAGCAGTTTTTATTTATGCTAGTTTCCTACTGAAGGCTGGCTGATGAACCTGAGGGTTTAACATGAGGCAGTTGGTCTCTTTTTATCTTGGAATGTGGATGTTATTAATTAATTGGTTTTATGAACTTTTTTGTCTCCTCTTCAGTATTAAGAGAAGTGTGATGAAATACTATCACAGCAAGCATCACTTGTGACAAACACTGGTAACTTGAAAAATGTTAAAAATGTGTACTCTGTCACTGTGATTTTGTACTGATGCTTTGGATCATTGGAGGACTTTCAGATACTTTAATCGACTTCTAGATTTGGCAGATTTTTGACTTTCTGTAGACAGTGTGTCATGTTGTTTTGGAATTGTATTAAACCCACCATTTTTCTTCACTTTACAGCTGAGTGAAATAAGTGGAATACCCTTAGAAAACATAGAATTTGCAAAGGTAAGCAAGATTGTGTGTATTTTTACTTTCTAATGGCACAGACGTGATTGTTTTATTGTATTCACTGAGTAATTGTTTTTTCTCAGGGTAGAGGAACCTTTCCATGTGACATTTCCATACTAGAGATTCACCAAGACTTGGACTGGAATCCTAAAGTATCTACATTGAATGTCTGGCCTCTGTACATTTGTGATGATGGTGCAGTAATATTTTATAGGTATGCATTTCATTACATTATAATAAACCATGCAAAAAAAGCTGTGTAAGATCTGAGGGATGATGTAATTGACAGGAACATAAAATACTCTTCTGTCACCATACAGAAAAGAGAGTTTAAAACAGTCAGCTGAAATATTTGTGCTCCTCAGCTTCCTAAAAACCTATTAATTAAGTTTAAGAAAACAAGCACTGCACCCTTTTACTCAATCCTCCTTCCCAAACCACTGAAAATATTTTGCTGAATGCAAAACTAGTTGCTATGCTTGTATGTGTGTGGATTTAATATCTTAATGTATCCCTTGTGGAGTTTGTGAATTCTTGCTGTATGTTTTGGACAGCAAGGATTTTATTTTATTTTCTGAGTTTATTCCTTTGAGAAATTAATATGGTTTATTTGGAAAAAAGGCCATTAGGATAAAAATTTTATTAAACTGAAAAACGTTGATCAGCTGGTGGCAGTAGCCCAGAGGCAGGATTTGAGGACTGAGAGCTTGAATATTGTCATTCTTCTAAACTTGGTAGGTGGGGCAACCTCATTGCTTCTGTGGTATTTTTCATAATTGCATGTGAGTTGGGGGGGAAACAGCTGGTTGATAACGTGCTGGTCTGGATGAAAATTGTTTGGGAGAACATCTGATAGCTTCTCTTAGGGGCTGGCTGACACACTGCTTCCAGCTGTTGGCACTGAGAGCAAATACAGAGCAGAGCCCTAGCTGTCTATAAAGAACAGGAGTTAGGGAAATGGAGGAGTATAGGCTTGTTTCTTCCCCTGGGTGAATGTGTCTGCTGGAAAAGCAGGTTTAGACAGATTGTTCGTTTCTGCAGAGGAGGGAAACAATCCCTAAGAACTGTTGTGCTTAGTTGTGGTTTTAATAAGTTACTCCAAGTGGAAAAAAAAAAGGCAGAAATCTAATTACAGTTACTGTATTGATCTGAGTTTTAACATGTTTACATTTTAGGGATAAAACTGAAGAATTAATGGAATTAACAGATGAGCAAAGAAATGAACTGATGAAAAAAGAAAGCAGCAGACTCCAGAAAACTGGACACCGGGTAACCTACTCTCCCCGTAAAGAAAAAGCACTAAAAATTTATCTGGATGGAGCACCAAATAAAGATTTGACTCAAGACTGACACTTGCTATAGCATTTTCCCTGGGGAATTTTTTTTGTTTCCAATAAAAAGGTTCACTACTACTGTGTAGTGCCATTACGGCAGGACATTCATTAGGTGTAAAGCGCTGACACCAGCACCGGGCGGGCGGTGACCCGCCGGCAGCGCAGGGCCCCGCCGGGTCACTGCTTGACTTGGAATCATGTTGTGCACTATAGTCAAATGTACTGTAAAGCTAAAAGGGATGTGCAAATAAAAGATTAGAACTAAAAAAAAAAAAAATAAAAAAAAAGTGGGCGGGGAGGGAATCGAGTGGAAATTTTTTGAGGACAGTGTGCACATAGTAGCTAGTGAAACTAGCCTCAAACAGGATACTCATAGCTTAATAATAAAAGCTGTGCAAAGGCCATGAAAGAATCCTTTTCTCTGTTTGTTTCACTGATACACGCATTACCTCATCAGAGAGTCGGAAGTAAACGTGAACACATTGGTTCTAGAAGAGCGGCAGAAAAGGGCCGGAGGTGGAAGTGCTGCAAGTGCGAGGTTTTATACTCTTCTTCCATAAAACAGGCGGTCTGAGAGGTGTCTGCAGAAAGCTGCCAGCAGGCGCTGTTTGTTTGCAGAAGTGCTGTTGTAAGGTAAACTGGGGGTTTTTAATAGGTTACAGAAGCCGATGAGCAGCTCTAGTGTATTGCGTTCGATGTGTAAATAAAATTTGCCCTATCCATTCACCAGAACTGCAGTTCAGCTATTTACCATGCTATTTCTTTTCACATATCAACATTCATTGTGTACATTTGGAAGTATAGTTGCCTATTTAAATTTGTATTCATTTTATGTTTGATGATGCTGGGTACTTTAGGGTTGTACTTCCCCTTGTTAATTAAGGTTTTGTTTTGTTCCGCTACTTTTTGTACATTTTGTTTTTAAGACTATGACAAGTTTGCATCTTCTCCACCTGCTGAAAGTCAGTTTATTATTCCCAGAGTTGATTCCATAGCTATATGTAGTCAAATATTGGGGCAACCTCTAACACCTCAACGTACAAACTTAGTAGTTCAGGCTGTGGTGCAGAGACTGATGCAGTCAACATGATTTCATTGCAAAGCCTAGGAACAGCAGTTTTTTGCTTTGGTCCATAAAGATCAATAGAGAACAATTCTCCATAGTTTTTGGGAAAAACCACCTAATTTATAACAATCAAAAGATTTTGGTAAACTTTTTCATGCCAGATGCTGTTTACAACAATGAACATGCCAATAAAACATTTGTTCATTCTGTTGTGTTATTTTAATCATTAAATGCTGTGTTTTTTATCTAAAAAAATATGGAATTATTTCATGGAAATACAGACTTTCCCAAGGCAGTGCTGGAATTGTAAGGCTGTGTGTTTGTGTGTATGTGCACACCCCCCATGTACAGAGTGTTACAGGAAGTGGTTTATAGCTTATCTGCTTCTCTTGTTTAAGTTCCCACCCATTTTTTCTCCCACTGTGAGTTTCCTTTTCCAGAACTGAATTTCTCACCAGTGAAACTTCCAAGTTCCAGATATGGTTGACAGCTAATTTCTGCTCCAGAGGGGAAAGGCAATGTTCAACAACTGAACCTTCAAGTCTTCCTTGCATGCTGGCCCACAGCAACCTAAAAATCCTGAGGAATCTGGCAGCATGAGAACCAGGCACTGCACAGATGAACTCCCTCGTTCTTCCTCTTCGTTTGTCCTGTGCTGCCCCTTGCCCGACGTAAGTGAGGTGGAAGAGGGGGCAAAGGGAGCAGAGAGGGTGTACCATCCTCTAGGCAGGGTATGTCATTAAAGTGCCCTTTACCATTTATATAGACTGCTGAAGGAACCTTGGAGCTTTTGAAGAGAGGAAAAAAATTACCTATCAAATGGATCATGGATTTTCCTCAAAGACATTTGGAGAGGCAAAAACCTAGAGATGAGATCTGAGGATTGCAGCACCAAGAATTTGAAGGGAGAGTAATACTGTCATTAAGAGAGCAGTATTTACAGACAATTACTGCTCTCTTTCGTGTTTTTTTTAAACAGATTTAATTCCTTCTCTTTGTATAGATGGGCTGTCTCTAAAGTACAATAATTTTATTGGGGATAGAAATGAGAGGTGAATTCAGTGAACTCTGAGAGCAGGTGCCTGGGTGTATGTGTTGGTGTGAGAATTGGTTGTAGAATCCTTAAACTGAAAGTCAGACTGTTCTGATGAAATATCCTCGTGTTGATTATGATTATTAACATTAATTCTGGTACCCAAGGAATTTATTGAGAAGCTTTCATAAAGTAGACATGGTGAAAGATGTGCAGGCTGGTAGCACAGTCTTACAGCTGCTCCTGTTGGTGCTCTGCTGTCCAAATTAGAGATAAGCAGTAGGGATTGTTTGGGAAGAAGTGCCATGAAGTTACTTGGCTGGAACCTCATGTCGTGTTTTCCCATGTGGAATAACAGATGGTGAAATCTGTACCCCAGAAAACCATTAATAGTGGAAGAGCCACTGAAGCAAACTGATGAGACAGCTGGGGAGTTTGGTGGATTGGATTTTACTCTTGGCTTGCCATCGATTTCTAAAATCAGTGACCTGTTAAAGATGGTCACAATAAGCACATCTTGTAACATGCAGAGGTTTATGCCTGTGAAGTGTATTAAAAGCATAAACCATTGCTCAGAGGTTGTTCTCTGGGTGTAAGTCTCTAAGTGCAAGAAGCTATTTCAGTTGTCTTACTGCTAAACTGAAGTCAGGAATTGATGTTCACTGCCCCTGCATCTCACAAAGGGCAGGTGATGATGGAATGTAGCCAACAGGTCCTTAAACAACATTCCCCCAGGAAGGAGTGTTCATGTGGTGCAGAGTGCTCTGTGGCACTGTGACACCCACAAGCTGGATGTTGCAGCTTCACTCACCATATTTTCTAAAGGAAAAAAAATTAAAAAGTCCCTAAAATTAATGACTACAGCAGTTTAAAGTAGATGGTTCATACTCAAAAGTCACTTCTGAAGTTACTAATAACTTAAAATTATTTACGCTCGTGTGTATTTTTTAATGAGTGTAAGTACTAATAAGTTTATTTCTGATGTACACGGGGAAAAAACTAATCCAGAAGAAACACTTCTCATTTGACAGGTTTGGTCCAAGGATTGAATGAATTCAACAGCAATTGGAACATGCAGGTTTGGTGCACAGAGAAGTATTTTCATTGAAGACCTTGTTTATTGCACTTCTATCCAGCAGTGTGTGTTTAGGGTTTATATAAGCAAGACACTAGACAAAAAATTGCTAGAAATGACTAACTAAACTGCCTGGTGCTTGGACTTTAAATTTCATCTCCCAAAACCAGGTCCTGAGCTGAGTCAGGCTCAGGCTTCAAACCTGCTTGCTCCTCCAGACTTTCTAATTCCCTACGCACTTCCTGAATGACACTGCTTTCTTCATAATCAGAAAGAATATCTCTGGGGATTAAGCTGAGAAATGGCATCTCATCCATGATTAAGGGATCTTCTTTTTCGTTATTCCGGGTTTCATTGGCAGACAGTTCACACACAGATGTAGGGCTGTGGCTGTTGGAAAAAGAGAGACACATCTGGTCACACAGAACAGCATTTTATGTTCTGCTGGTTTCTTTATACAGTTCCCACATAAAGACATGTTAAATGCATAATAGATCTATCCTAGCTGATTTCATAAAGATCTGGGGTTTTTACGTGCTAGACAGCTGGAGAGTTTCCACCTTCAGAGCTAGAACAGAGCCTAACAACACAAAAATGTTTGATCCTGGGACACAAGATGGCAGTGGCCCTCAGCACAGCCTGGCCCTTCTGCAGGCACTGAGGGTGACTAGACCTTGCTGTTCATGTCATAATACAGAGTTAAGAAACACAGTCATCCAGCTTATGATGGATGAGCTTTATGTATTTGGTTCCTCACAGTGCAGTGGAAACACTACAATTGCCAATCCTGTTTTGTGAAGCCACCTTGACAAGTGGCTTCAGTTGCCTGCAAATAAACATCCCACATTTTTTGCAGCAACTATGAAAGAGGAATGATTTATAGTTGTGTTCAGGAGTCAGGGGAACAGAACTTGATCATGGTTCCTCTGGGGCATGCAACTGGGCTACATGTCCATGTCAGGTGAGCACTACTTGTGCCAGGCACCCCTCAGCAACTGCTGAAAGCTGCACCCTCTTCCACTGGAAACAGCATAAATGAGCTAAAGATGTTCCTGAAGCTTGTCTGCTGTATATTTTGAATTCTTTTGCTCTCTAGGAGTTCCAAGACTTCCATTTGTGCACAGACTATCCCTGTGTTCTCTTTGGTATAATCTAATAGTTTCAGTGTTTATCAGTTGCTTGTAATATTTAGCCAAGGGCCATTTCAAGCAGAGGTGGACTGTTTCTTTATTAAAAAAATGTTGTCAGAATCTTAAAATTCAGATAAGAAGTTCTTTTGACTATAGCTGGACAGTTCAGTTATATTCACACCCTAAGTAATTTCTGTGTTTATATATCCTCATCTGAAATGTCTTCCTTCTAACTAGACATGACATTTGCTGACAGACCTTCCCTGAGGTTAATGGCACATTAACTAAAATTTTGGTGCAGAAAGGATGGGATCAACTCTGCTTGTTTCCTTAGATGACATTTATGAAACAAAATGTTACCCGATTCCTTTTCATGCATGAAAAAATGTAGAAAGAGTTGGACACAGAGGAGAGAAGTATTAATATACATCTCTCTCCCAGCTATGCTGTCTTGTTGGAAGTTAATATGATGCTGGTAGGGTAGGAGAAAACTTGGAGAATTTCATAGAAAACATTTAAGTTTTCTAAAAATGCTTTTAATGCAAAACTGAAATGATGTCGCTTCCCCCAGTGAAACTGCTGATTATGCAAATAACTGTCCTTTTAGAGAATGATTAAAGGCATTATCTATGCAAAGTTTTAACTTCAAGCAGAAAACAGCCTGCTTCCTATTTGGTGAAACTCAATGGTAGTGAAGAAGTCTGCACAGTTTGAAGTGTTTGAAGTCTGAGAGCAGATCATAAGTTAGTGGTAGAGAAACTGGCACCCTGGGTTAGTTTGAAATGAGGGGAATGTGCAAACAAAGATAGATTAATTTTTTTTCTTCAATACATGTGCCCATCTGTAAAGCTGATCAGTAGTGCAGGAAATACTGCATGTATTTAAAATATCTTTCATGTGTCTTACATATGAAAGCAAGCAAAACATCTAACAGAAGCCCAGCCTAACATAGAAAGATGGTGGACAAAGAACTGTATGCAGAGGATTAAACTGAAATGATACATCTCAACAGCTGTTAGTACTGACTGATTAAAAAGCAGTAACAGCCTGATTAACTCACAGACTTAATTCACATGGGATTAATGTGTTGCCAAACTCAATTAGGCACATCTGTGTGGGACAAAGCAGAAAGTTTCAATGCTACTGATGAGAAAAGTTGTCAAAACATTTTCTAGTGAGGCAGACTCTGAAACAGACCCCTCCAAATTTTTAAGCAGGTTGTCTGCCCGCTTTTGATCTTTACCTCTGAGGCTGGCAGATCAAGCCACTTGCACATGGGCACTGCTCGAGCACTCCATCGGGTTCCAGGTCCCAGGTGATGAGGTTGAGAAGTCTGTTGGAAGGATCATGGCAGGGTTCACCCTCCTCAGGTAAGGGTGTGCACACAGGGAACAGCAGCTCTGTGTGCCAAAGGAAAGTCATTTTATGAGAAGACCGTGGCTGTCTGCTAACCTGTGATGACCTCATTTCTGAAGGGTGTATGCATTATAGAAAAAGACAGATTTGACCTCTCCTAAAGTCCCCTTACAAATAAAGGAGCCATAACTTAATGTTTTTTCCACTAGGTGGGAGTAAGACATTTGAAGTTTATGCTTAATGAGCAAGATCAACTCCTGCTCTTCCCAAAGAGAGTGAGTGTCAAGACAGCAGTACTGCACAACTCCATCCCTTGGAGATTCAAAAGGTTACTATAAACCCAAGAAAAAATTACAGTGAATCCTTTGCAATGGTTTAAAATCTGAATAGAGAAATACCTCTGTATTTTAGAACTCTGTTAGTTTTCCTGTTTCTTTGCAGAGGTTACAAATATACAGAGCAATTGTTCAGAGACTAAATAATGAGCTGCAAGAACTACACCTCAGACGTTTAATTTATTACAGTAATACTGAAACACACAAAGCTGTCTGATGGCATTTGGGGCTTGGCACCCTTGTTTCTGCACAGGGATGAATTTTAAGTTGTGTAAGAAATTATTTTAGAAGGCTCCATCCTCTGGGTTTCCTGCTGCTAGTAACTTATAGCGTCAGTCTGGAATTCAGATTTCCAGATGTTCCTGTCCAACCTCCCTTCCTCCTCTTGTCTTCATTCTCCTCATATGGCAGAATAAAATATGAGAGGAATTCAAAATTTAGATTATTAAAGCAGACTTGGTCAAAATACACATGTATGTGTGTGTATACACATATATGCTTCAATGTATATGACCTATCAGTTCCCAATTTCAAAACAGATTCTATATTAACAAGTGAATACCTCATAGTTTACTGCAGTTTTATGTAAAAAAATATACATCTTTATTAGGACAACCTTTTGCAATACTCTGGTGATGAAGAAAGGCTTTGAAGTAGGCAGGCCTAACCTGAAAAACCCTGCTAAAGCACACAACTATAGAGAATAAAAATTCATTGCTATTTATCAATAGCTCTATTTCAAGTTCTAATAAGTGTATTCTATCCATTTTATCAATATTCTTATCTATTGATTTTTATATGCATATATATATATATAAAAAATATATTTTTTTCTCTGTAACTGTATCTGTTGTTCCTTCCTGAGTTACAGGTTTGTACTAAATTTCTAGTCAAGATCTAAAGAGCAGCCTGGTGCTTACTAACACCAATGGGATGCACACTACTAATTTACTCATCTCTGCAGCATAAGCAGATTCAGAGTCCTGCATGGTCAAAGTAATAGGCATGTATTAAAAGTGCTCTTCCTGTCTTATTTCAGAATCAGAGTACAAAGAAACCTCTGGGAGAGCTTGGCAAAACCTGTAAATGCTTTAGGTGGAACCTGATGAAGAGAGGAAAAACTGCTCCAACCAAAACTTGTTGAAACCAAACTTGTTGAAAACAAATTGAAGGTCCACTATGTAATAGTCAAAATCAACATGGGAAAGCTGAGCATATCTTTGGTTTTCCTGAAATGCCCTGGCAGCCTGATCCACCAGCAAGCTGACAGCAGGACAGGCACCCCAACCATCTGTGAAGGTACAAGGTCACGTCTGGCTCATAGCAAGAACCAGGAAGAAAGGTAGAGAAGTATCTACCTGGTGTAAGGAGGTGGTTGGAACTGTGTCCTGTGACTACAAAATTGAGATGAATTATGAAAAATGCAGTGAGAAACTAGTGGGTATAAAACAGTAAAAGAAATTGGACCCTAACCAGACAGGATTTGGGATTAATTTTTGGCCTGAGACCTTCTCCTCCTGTCCTCCCTTCCGTAAATCAAGTTTCACATTCCCATGTGGAGCGACAACATAATCTGGGACATCATTCCTCTGTGTATCTTGGCTGTCTGGTCAGTACTGCACAGTGTGGTGCCCTGGAAGGCACACATAAAACTCAGAGTATGAAATGTATCTGCAGTCTGATTCTGATAGTCTGCTTGCTGATAGGAAAGAGAAGCCACTTTCAGTAATCTCATCATTTCTTCTGTATATTTTTAATTCTCTTATTTTTGCTCTATTGGGTGAAAATTTGACAACGGAGTTCTGCTACTTTTAAATGTGTAAGATTCCCCTTTGGAAACCTAAATTTTTGTGCTTCTCATGCTTGTCTCATCTCTAGCGAGCAACAGGCTTTTCTTTCACCATTGTGCACCCCTACCAGGCTGTTTCTCACTCCTGATTCTATCAAAGTTTTATAATGAAGTTATAGGTGAAGTTACATAAGTAGAGATTTAGCAACTTCCCCTGGCAAAAGAGGGGATATATTATGTATTATACAGTATGATGCAATGAATAGGACAAGTCCTATTCACAGAGGTACCTTTCTGAAAAGCACAGCACATTCCAGGGTTGCAGTCGTGTTGGTTCTCACAAATGGTGCCGTTCTCCCCTTTTGAAGTGGATTTCCTGCACTGGCCCCAAACACAGAGCTGGTCTCCACAGCATTCAACGTCCCGGGAGCAGGGCTTGCAGATGGAGAAGGCACGTGAGAAAATTGTCACTTTAGCACTAATTGCTTGTAACACAGACAGCTAAACATAGAATTAACCCTGGTCCTGAAGGCAACTGCATGTATGTGCTTGTAATATATGTGTGTCATATTCCCACTGTTTCAATAGAAATGCTTAGGGTTCTCAGTTTAAGGGTACGTAGAACTTTTTGCCAGACAGGAACCTCCACACTACAGTAACAGCACCCCTTCTACACTAATATACTTCCAATACTACAAGACATGAATTCTTACTTTAGCATTCACATGAACACTGATCAGCAGCCAGATATCCCACAGTGTAGGTTGGACAGGGCCTTAAAGGTCATCCAGTTCCAAACCCCACATCGTGGGCAGGGACACCTTCCACTAGACCAGGCTGCTCAGAGCTCCATCCAACCTGGCCTTGAACACTCCCAGGGATGGGGCATCCACAACTTCTCTGGGCAACCTGTTCCAGTGCCTCACCACCCTCACAGTAAAGAATTTCTTCCTAATATCTAATTCAAACCTGTCTTCTGTCAGTTGGAAGACATTCCCCTTTGTTCTCTCACTACATGCCCTTGTAAAAAGTCCCTCTCCAGCTCTCCTATAGGTGCTGGTATTCTCTCCTTTAGGTACTGGAAGACTGCTCTAAGTTCTCCCTGGAGCCTTTCCTTCTGCAATCAAGGGAAGTAAAAATTAAGAAATGAAATATTATCGATGGAAAACATTACTGATTTTTTTTTCCATTGTTAAATACAGTCAGGAATTTACGATTTGTTCAGAAGGATTGTTTTCAAAGAGCACAGCAAAAAAATCTTACTAAAATCCATTTGCAGTTGTAATAAGAACCAGATCTCATTGGTAACCAAGAATCTTTGAAAAAAATCTCTGAAAAAAAATCTCTTTGAAAAGCAGAAATGCAAACCTCTAGCTAAAGATAGCTTTGTGTGACAACTGCCCCAGTGTTTCAACTACACACACCTAATAAATCAACCTAATAAAAAGGGTGTGTCACATTGTTCCTTTTTTTAGGTAGTTTGATTAACATCTTAGAGATTCCTACCAGGTCAGTGCTTTAACAGCTTTTTCCTGTCTGTGTTAAGCCCTGTCTGGGCAGCCATACAAAATCTGAACTTCTTTTCCAGTGAATCCCACAGGAGGTGCTTAACACAGGGCAAGGAGTAGGACTGCACTGGTACTATTAAGACCTGCTAACTGGGGATAAAAATGCTTTGTAATTGCAGGGATTCAAGGTCAGGGAATTGATCCCACCTCCTTCAGTCTGAGCTCACTTTACAACAGAAGTGTAGCTAACACCCCATTTTTACTTTCTTTATCCTACAAGTGTTCTGCTGAGGACTGAAAAGAAAAGGTGGGATTATAGGGGGGCATAGATGAGGGGCAGCCCGATCTTTATTTTGAATTATTCCATCTTAACATGAAAAATTATTAGTTTAACATTTTCTAAAATACAAAGAATAAGCTTTCTCAATGACACATATAGGACATGATCAGGATTTTAAGCAAGCATTCAGTACACTGAAGTCAATAGAGCTCCTTTAACTTATCAAGATAACTATTTAAATTATTTCAGGAACAGCCTGGTGCTTTTAGGTTATAACAATCCTATTCAGTTTACATGAATTTACAGCAACATTTAGTTGCTTGTACACTGGACTGTCTGCAAATGCTTTGAGGAGTGAATTTGTTTTGCAAGAGGCCATCAGCAGAACTTAGTTGAAAAGGGACAGTCAAATAAAAGGGCTTTTTTGACAGGCTGCTTCTAAACTGGATTTTGATCACAGAAAAAGCCTGAACTTCTCAGGCATCTGTCCCTTACAGAAGATAACCTAACCATAGCTACTACTAAGAACATTGATCTTCTAGCTCAAAAGACAGGAACTGACTGCTTCCTGAGGTTCACAGATTCAAATAAGAGAAGAGGATCCTGTACAGTCCCCACTGCACTACAGCATTGTACAGTTTGTCAGTGAAGGGAAGAGGGCAGGCTGCTGCAATTCCCTTTGTGAATCCAGAGCTGGAAACGACCGACTGTCAGCTGAGCCTTGGGAGCTGCCACAGTATTTCCTCTTTGCCCATTCCACTGGCAACCTACAATGTGTTAGCTTATGCTGTTCTCAGGCCACCCAACAAGGCAAGCTTGAGTCAGGAGGAGCCCAAGGCAGATTTTGGAGCATATGAGAACAGAAACCTTGAAACTCAGTTTTGTTAACAGGAAGAAAAACCCCACACAACCCAAAAAACTCTACACACACCCATTTTTTTTACCCTCATGCAGAAAGCTTTGCCGCTTCTTTTCTACCAATTTCGGCTTGTTGACATTAGCAACAATAACACTGAGTTTCTACAGATCACATAAAATCACGTCTCATTCAGGACTTACTGTATGCTGGGTTTTGCAGAGCTGACATTTGTATTCAAAGGTGGAGAACTGGCAATATTTCCCTGTTTCACAGTCCTCATCGATGATACACTCCTGAAGAAAAGGATAAAAGTGTAATTTGCCACTGTGTGACTGAAATCTGTATCTCTTCTTGAAATACCAGAAGCTCTTGATTGATTGTATTTCTTACTTGGGAACCAAGAAAAAAAGCTTGCTTCAATTCTTCATACAGCCACAGCTCTGTAACAGACCAGTGTTATCTCCCTGGCTTATCTAAATACTCCGGCCTCAAATTGTTAGGTGGCTTCACTTCTTGAATACATATTAATACCAGCTACCTCAAGAGAAGAAATTATCTAGTTCTGCAGGCTTTTTGTGCTTTTGTTGTTTGGGCTTTTTTTTTTTTTTTTTTTTTGATGGGGGCATTGAAGTCACTTGTATTAAATCTGTTGTATTTGAGTACAGTTGTGATTTATTACTTGTTGTTTTTTTTCAGATGGGAGACAAGACTGAAGGAAAGAGGCTACACTACTGCAGCCACAGCAGCCAGGAGTATCTTTATGCTCTGTGGGAGACCCTTCTGCACCAGCTTTCTTGATCTCAGGCCAGGTAGCTTTAAGCTGTCCTCCCTCCTCTTCCCCAGCAATATCAGTGCATCAGAAACTCCCCAGCATGCTTGGCTTCACTAAACCAGCAAGGACCTCCCTAAGGGAGAAGGGGAATGTGTTTCCTTTTGCTTTTAACTGTTCCTCTGCTCCCCTTTCAAGGGGCACAGGAATTCTTCTCAGGCAATCTTCACAGTGCCTGAGTGTTTTTGTCAGCAGTTATTTCTATGCTGAAAAATGCAGTTCTTCCTTCTGCAGGACTGGTAACATTCAGCATCCCTGGGGCTTCGTGGCAGCAGCAGCACCACTGCACAGCCAGTACTTCTGGGAGGCATGGATGTAACACACCACTGGATTTCCTTTTCTTGGCTGGTGGCATGTCTCTCATGTACTTGTCACCATAGCCCATCACCTACAACCTCATTGCTGCAAACGTCTAAATGCCTACATGTGTCAATTTTAAATCCTTCCTTTAATTTGATTCGAATATTGCAAAATATGCAGGAGCAGATTCTCAGCTGGCATCTCCCTGCTCTCAGCAGAGGTAATTTACATTTAGTAACATAAGATTGACGAGTACTAAAGAGCCCCAAACATCCTAGGGAAAAACAGCCCCACATTCCCTAGTGCATCAGCCTTTGCTACCCAGCCTGGACTCCAGGATAGGCCTCAAGCCAGCAAAGGTGCCTGAGCACATCTGGCTTTTCAAACCTGGGATCATTTCATGGCCTGAACAAAAGTGTTCATGGGAGAGGGACACCTGAGTCTGAATCTGAATCGCAAACTCAGGCTGAAGTTTCCTCACCCAGAGGTCCTACCAGCATTGTGGAAGAGACAGCTCCCCTTTTGCTCCTGCTGCATGGGATGAATGCACAAACTGGTTAGGAATTCTTCCCAGAACACAGCTCTGCAGGGATGGCAGTGAGGAAATACAGAGAGTAAGTGTACACGTCTGTGTACCCCTTGTGTCTGGTTCACAGGGAGGGCCTGTTTTCTCTTCCCATCTAAAGGTTACCTCCTCAAAATTGTGTGATTAACCCTGTTCTCAAAATGTTTTCTTGTTTTTTTCAGACTGGAAACAATCTAGTCAATAGAAACATAAATTATAGCACTGTTCTGTGTCACCTGTACTCCATCAGTGCTTGGTACCATCCATCTTTTTGCTATTAGTCAAAGGAAAGGAAAGGAAGGGAAAAGAAAAAGGGAAAGGAAAGGGAAGGAAATGACACAAAAATCCCTGAACTCTCTGAACTAACCACTTGACTGTTCTTTGGCAGATATTAATCTCACTTGCTGGAGCAGATCAACTGTCATCTGTGTAACCTTTATGGAAAGTTTCCACTAAGCTTTTCATTTTCTTCAGATCTTTCCAGATTAAACTTTATGGAGGCTTCTTGCCCTGTGTGAGTCAAGGCTACTCTGCACAAGCAGCAATGGCTTGTCCAAATTACCCATTTTGGCCACCTTAGATGTTTTCCAGCAGTGTGATTACCCAGAACACAGAACAGAAGCCACACACAGCCTAGGGCCTGATTATTTTCAAGTCAGTGGCTGGATATTCAGGTTATGTTTATAATTCAGAAGAAGCCATTTTAGCTATTTTAAGAAATTAGTATCACCAGATCTATTCTGCTATAAATTATCATAATGTTTTCAACTTCACTATTCCAGTACTGTCTGTGTTCTGCCTTTTTTTTTTTCTTTTCTGTTGCTACATAATCAGTTGGATCAAAATCCAAATATCCAAATGTTATATAGTATGTTGGAGGTTTCATGGTTCCAAGTGAGCAGTCGGTGACTTCTCTTCAGCAGCCACGCTCTTTTTGGCCACTTCTCTGTTTGCAGCTTTGTCAGCTTCTGTTATGAATCCCTCTGTATAAACCACACTCAGAATAGACTATATACTGTTTCATTCCTGTTCCATCCACTTTCAGGCAAACAGCCAGGTCTCGCTGGAGTCAGTTTTTCCAACTGTCCCTCTCCACAAAGGAGAAAATCTTGCCACAATTGTTTTTGAGCTCATGGAATAACTCTCTCCTAGCTCTAAAACCACCTAACACCAAAGTTGCAGTTCTCCAGTCACTGACTTCTCCTAGCTAATGAGTCCCACACCAAAAAACTTCTTTTTCCTCACTTACTGAATTGTATCCCACCAGTTCAGACTTCCAGTTTTATGAGGGTTTCCAGCTGGGGAAAAATCCCTTCATGGTTTTCTTTGCTGGCATGGAAAATCTTCCTTTCATATGCTCTCGGTGAAATTTTGTGCCACACTTCAAATTGACTTCCTTCACCCAAATATTATAATCCATAGTCAATACAGAACTCAGTAATTCTTACTTGCAGATGTGTAACCAGGTATCTTTTTTTAATAATTTATTTTTATTTATTTAATCAGGCTACAGACCTTTTATAATCCACTGCTTGAGACACAACAACTGCTGGACAAGGAGCAAATCTGAACATCTTCATCAGTTACAACAGATCCTGAACAGTCCATTTTTTCCTGGGATTCTGCAAACTAAGGTATTTCTCAGAATGTTTTGTCATTGCAAGAACAACTGCATAAACAGAGGAGAGGGGGTGCTGGCTTCTGATGTGCAGCAGAGCATACAAGTTGAGCAGATAGCTCAGATAAAGACAGAATTAGCTACACTGATAATGGAGTACATGTCTCTGAAATTCATTTCAGTGTTATACTAGTTAATGCTGCAGCAAAGGAATATGCCCTTTGAGAAGTGCTAGAGAATAATACAGAGTGAAAGCAGGATTGTCTATTTATTACTGGGTATACCAGGACCCATAAACAACAGAGCCCAGGACACAGAATACCATGCTATGTACTTGTAAGGACATACTCAGCATCCTCTGGACTCATAATACTGTACTCTGCAGTGAATATCCTGCAACACCTGGAAGCAATTTGGGGCTTAGGATCTGTTCCAGAACCAACATGGGAAAAAAACCCACCCAACAAAAAACTGAAACTCATGGAAAAGGTTCCTTGTGTTATAAGACTGCTAAAACAACTGCTGCTGAAAGAAACTTCAGGTTTCTTGTCTCTGGCAGATTATGCCAAGCTATCATTTGCTTTCCTAAAGAATGATTAGTGTCCACATTTGAGAATAAAAGAGTGACTGATGTTAGTGATAGTCAAGTATGGCAGGACCACAGCTCCCAGGAAAAGGAAACAGATGGTGCAGGACTGTACAGGTCAGAACTGGTGTGTCAAGTTTTGACACCAGTGCTTCCCTTTGGGCTTTATGTTCACATATACATGGAAAGGGACAGAAGAAAAAAGTTTTCTTTTAGTGTGATGTGTCAGTCTTCACTCTCCAGCCCCCAGTATGCCCTTGGCCTGAAGGTACTACAGGCTATTTTGGCAGACTGTACTGACTGGTGGAGCATAGCCCACTGTGGTGTGGACCATATCATCCTTAGAGCACGTAAGGATAAAGAAGGAGAAACAAAGAATTTCTCAGTTCAAGTTCTAAAAGTAGAACTACAGACAGAGTTAACCTACTTTCACACAGAAACCCACTTTCTTTGGCAGTTTCTGTACCTCACTATGGTAGTAGTTTTAATACTTGGTTTTGCTGGTATGTACTGAAATTATGCTTATTTTGCTTTGCTCTTTTTCCCCTTAATCCTTAATTAAAACCCTAAGAGTAGACTAGAAAATATTCCAGTCTATTCTAGGACTGTCTGACTTTCAAAATGTAATAATTTTAATTTCAAAATGGACATTTCATTTGTCTATTCCCTCTCCCCACTCACACTCACCCTACCTCCACACTCTCAAAAAGTCCTTCTTCAAAGATAACTTAAACAAAACTCTCTCTTCACTAGTTATATCTTCAGCTAATATTTGCCTGTCAGGGAGAGGCAAATGACTGTCTGGAACAAGCTTTCCTTCTGGGCTCTTTATGCTTTAGCTTAGAACCCAAGAAAGCAGACAAAGTCGCTGTTCATGACTTTATACACAGCTTTTCAGTGGTGATTAACCCATCTATCAAAGGCAGACACTGAACATATAGGAGGAGGGGAGGGCATATGGAACAGAAAATGCCCCTGTGGGTGAGGGGCAGCTGTAGTGGAGAGACTGAGCAGCAGTTCTCTGCCAAGGTCACTGCTCTGACATGAGAACAGTAAGTGGGATTCAAGCAGAAGAACCCCTTTTCCCCTTGGAAATGCATGGAAGCACCTCTCACAGTCTACAAAAACCTCCTCTGAACAAAGAGCCCCCTTACATGTTTATTAAAAGATCCTGACACAAAGCGATTCCCCTTTCCAAAACCTGTAACTCAAATAAAACTCCACGAACAGCAGCCACAGGTCCTTCCCAAGCAGTGCCAGAGCTCACTCAGCTGTACCAGGGAGACAATAATTTCAGCCATATCTGAAGTGCTTTAGCAAAACCACTGTGTTGGAACTGACATTTCTTAGCAATTGGCACTTCTAAGACTTAACATTTACTTGTGTGTTTACATA